GGGTCCAGACTAATATGCATGATTCGTAAAAATATAAACCTGAATTCATTAAGTCTAAACCAGTTGTTAGACCTAGGTTAAAGAAACGAGTTTTTAAGCAGAAAAGTCCTTAGCAGCATCCCGAGATAGTTTGCAAATGATTTCAAAAAATTTATAAGCGTTTTCGAAAGAGTTAAAATTTGCGAAAAATTGGCCCTAGTTAGCGGGGTGTTGCAGAAAAAAGGTGGATATTTATAGTGGAAGGTAGGTGAATCTTGGTTGATCTCAACCACTCATTTGAAATTTGATCTAAGGTGGAAAAAGAGGCTTGTAGGGGAAGCTTAATGGTGTTCCCAAGGGAGGTGGTAGGTGAAGGAAAAGAGATGGAGCATGTGCCATGAGTAGGTGTAAGTGCATAGACATTCCTATTTTTGGCCTAGCATCTCAGCTCGGCAGCCTAGGACTTGTCACCTCGGCATCGGCATCGGCAACGGTGACAGCTCGGCGCTCCTCGGCTTCGCTAGGAGCTTGACGTCGTGGTAGGACCAGCAGCTCGGCATCGCGATCAGAGGGCTAGCATCTCGGCATCCGTAGCTCGGCGTCGGCTCCTCGGCAGGACAACTCGTCGGCTTGGCAGGGTAGTGTGGGCAGCTCGGCGTCGGTGCACCTGGGTGCTCGGCGTCACAATCAGCTCGGCATCTTCACTTCTGCTCGGCGGCGGAGTGAGTAGCCCGACGTCGGCGTCCTGTGGAGAGCTTGGCGTCGGATCCTCGGCAGGCCAGCTCGTCGGCTCGGCGGAGCGGAGTGAGCAGCTCGGTGTCGACATTGAGGGTCGGCAGCTCGGCATACGACCATCTCGGCAGGTCATGGCTCGACAGATCGGCGACCTCGGCAGCTCGGCGGGTCCTCGGCATCTTCACTTCGGCTCGGCGGCAGAGAGTTCGGCAACCCCAGCTAGAGCTCGGCATCTCGGGGAGCTCGGCGTTGGCTCCTCGGTAGGTCGGCAACGAAGGCAGCTCGGCGTCGCGATGTGGCCAACGGCTCGGCATCCTCAGCTCGTCGCGGCCAGCTCGACATCACTCGCCATAGCTCGGCATGGTGTACAGCTCGGCGGGCGGCCTGTTGGCTCGGCAGGACGGGGTGAGCTCACGCGTCGGCGCATTCCATCGGCTCGGCATCGGCATTCAGGGCTGTCAGCCCGGCGTCTATATACTAGTAGCTCGGCGTTGTTTGCTCGACATCCTCACACCGGCTCCGCGGTGGTAAGAGAATTTGAATGAGGTAGGCGCAGTTGAGGTGGACACTGGATAATTGTCCCAACCTAAGGCGCGAGTATTTACTATGGTGTGTAATTTTTACATTCCTTAGGACAAGCTCCGATGACTTATCTAAGGAATGGGGGGGCTAGATGATACAGCCATGAGTAGTGGTTCATAAGGGACCGGCCATAGGCCGAACTTAGTGGCAGTTAGGCGTGATCGCTTCATGGGTGAGGGAGCTCGGCATGGGCGTCCATGGTGCCTCTGGTGGATGGGAGCTAGGCGTAGTCCAGTCAGCTAGGCGTGATTTAACCAGCTAGGCGAAGGTTAGCTCGGCGTGGGTTAGGTGGAATACCTAAGGCTGGTCACCTAGGCGGAATATATAAGGTGATCACCTAGGAACCTCGACACCTGGGCGGCTCGGCCAGAGGGTTCATCGCCGAGGGGACCAGAGCCTGGAGGTGGCTTCATGGTCAAGGCACAAAGAAGTTGTGGTGATGAGGACTCTAAGTTTTGGATATGTCTGACCCAGATTAGAGATACACACGAGGAAGACTTCTAAATCGATAAGAACTCTTCGACCCGTACATGACCTCACCTATAAAAGGGAACAAGTTCATTCATTTTACACAACACACATACACATATTATCTCGTTACTTTGCCGCTTTCTCTCCGAAACACCACCATTGACTTGAGCGTCGAAGTGTCCACGCCGGGACCACCCCCGGCGTGTTTTGCAGGTACCGACGATCAAGGAAGCGCAATCCAGTTCCAGAGGGGCATTCGAGCGGTTCAGGTATTTGTGGTGTAACAAGCTGCCTCGGTCACTGCCACGTACTCAGCTTCCGTTATGGATAATGTGACTATCTTCTAGCAGGGTTATACATACTTTGCCCCTCACATGCAAGAATGCTCATGCAATATACAACAACCATAATACCACAATAAATATAAGGAATAAGACATAGAATTTCCCACCTGATACTTGAATGAAGATGAAATGCAGATGCTTCAATGGGATGCTCAAGGGCTCGACTCCTCGGAATCTACATTTTTAGATGCATAACTCTTATAAATAACTTGACTTAACTTTGTGAAATAAATTACCACCTTGAAGAATTTTCTTAGCTTAAGTCAAATTCGAAGTTCATTAGCATCAACCAAATCCCAAATTTTGAAAAAATTCGAATTCAAGAAAAAAAATTTAATTTTTTTTTTTAAAAAACCCCAAAATTGGAATTAAAAATCTTAACTTGTTTAAGGTTTTGGAGGTAGAGATGGACGGTTTGTCGAATGTGGATTTTTATTTTCGACCTCGCCATTATATCTCGATGGCCGGAGACGAGGGGCAAACTTCCCGGAGATATGGTCGGCGACGAAGGGGGAATCGTATTCGTGTTCAGAGATGGAATCGTATCCCGGCGACGATTTTCTCCTCTGAATCGGCGATGGAATTCAGAGAGAGAGAGAGAAAGACGAACGACGATGGAGAGAGAGAGAGAGACGAACGGAAATTGAGAGAGAGAGAGAGAGAGTTGAAACAAAATTTTCAAAAATTTTAGGATTTTCAAGTAAAATAAATGAGTAATAATAATATTAGTATATATATGAGGACTGAATATGAGAGGAGGTTTTAGTAAGGAGTGCAGTGGAAAAAAAGAGTTAGTGACTGATTTGGAAGATGAAAAGAGAATTGGAAATTTATCTCCAATTTAATTTTTTTTAATCTATTTTTTAAATTAGAATCGAATATAATGTTTTTTTCTTATCATACCTACATTAAATCGAAAATCTTCAAAAATTTATTAATTTATCTATCATACACCAAAATTAATTACATAAATTTATTAGTTTTTTAAATTATATTTATAATTTAATTTAGTCAATTATTTATAATTTAAATATTTGAATTCTCACACAAGTAAAGTTGCACTTCTATTATTTTCCACAAAAGTCGCTATTATCTTCATCAGATGCTCATACATTATAGGGATCGGACTTCAATACTCGGTGCTTCACTGATCGACGCCACACTAACCCAGTGCTGCTTCCGCTCAGGTTTCTCTATAATTGAGCTTTTGCGTTTGCGATCTTATTTTATTTATTTATTTATTTTTGTGTGGTAATGGGTTATTCAATTCGATGAAAACATCTGATGGGTTTCTGACTACCGAAATTTATGGGTTGTTGGTTCACTTTTTTATCGTTGGAGCACGTATAAAGATCGGAATTTTATTTGCTATTGTGCTTTCCCTGAATAAATATTTTTTGTGGGTTTGATTGAGATTGTCTGTGTTGTAATTGTGGACTAGCTGGTTCAGTATTTTCCTTTCTGTTTTTTAAGTTAAAGTATTTGATTAATGTATGTGGAAGGCAGTTGTAATGTGAAGAAACGGAGACTGAATCCTATTCAAATGGTGCTGGATTACTTGTGTGGCTAGACAAAAAGGAGGTTAGATTTAGGATGTTCATCTTTCAAATGCTGACACAAGTTGATTCATATGTAAATTACAAGACAAATTGATTCATGTGTAAATAACAGGGTTGAGACATTGATTCACCTTTTTTACTCATTTTTATGATAGTGAGGGTTCGGTTTTGTTAAAAGCTCATAAACATGTTCTTTCTTGTTTGTAGGAGTGTGTTGTATTGGTGAGTTCGATTGCTTTGATTACTCATGTCGATGACAAATGAGAATGATGTGGCTTCTAATTCGGAGGTAATCAGTCCTCATCTTCTTTCCTTTTGGTTTTACTGGTTTTGACGTTTGCATTCTATCATTGTTTTTGTCTGTTTGTTGTTTTAATTTGTTATTTGTGTCTTTTGGTTTTGCAGTCATAGAAACGTTATGTGCATCCTTCGATTTTTCCATTGTTCATTTTAGACCTTCCATGATTCCATCTATATCAATACAAAAACAAAAAAGTGTTCTGGCTCTATTTTTGTTCAGATAATGAAGAACTTCGCCAAATGTTCAATAACAAATTATAAGTTCTTTTGGAATTCCCAGCTCATTTTAACACTGTCCCAGCTTCTTATTGTGCTCCCTGTACTACAATCATGTGATAAAACACTGAATCAGCATTGCCATTAACTAGATGGACAATGTAGTCTGATTTGTTCAGATAAAAACATTAAATAGATTTCTTGGACTGTTTTGTGTTGCTAAAGCTCAATTAAATTTACCTTTCTTTCTTATTCATTTTTTTTGTTTTTCGGTTTCATTTGCAGCTTTTGCTGGATGTTTTTAACGAGCTTCTCGACTCTGTTATCATTGATGTTGCATCAGAGTCACACCGTATTGCAAAGCTAGGGCTTGACTGTAATTTAGATCAAGAGGAAGAGGAATTAAGGTTGTCCCTCGAGGCACGGGCAAGGGCATCCGATCCAAGCCATAGTGGTGAAGCCAACGGCAAATACATTGTCGACATATTCGGCCAAACGCACCCTCCAATTGCAAACGAGATATTTGAGTGCATGAATTGTGGGCGGTCGATCATGGCCGGAAGGTTTGCTCCTCACCTGGAGAAATGCATGGGCAAGGTGATGATTATTTTCTATGCACCCCTTTAATTTCGAGTATACTTTGAGGATGTCTTGCTTAATTTTTGTTAGAAAAGTTTCGTGAGGCTTTTGTTTGTTATAGGATGTTCGTTTAGAGATTGTTACATGCTAGGTTCATTTGTGGATCAGATAAAGTGAGATTATGGAACTTTTAAGATGTTAGAAATGACAAGATTGTGTAAGGATAGTGTCCTCGAGGTTTGATCAAACTACAAAGAAAATGCAGTATTTCTGGAAATACGAAAGATATCCTTGAGGTTTGATTCAGTGTCAAAATTCAGGGTTGAATTTCTAATATATATATTGAGTGCGGAGATGAAAATATATTTTCCATTACTATTTCTTTTTCTTTTTTGTGCGGTGGTAATGTTTTGCAACCAATTCAATCTCAAGGTAGCTTTTCTAAAAAAAAAAGTTTTGTTTCTGGAATTAGGTCAAACATGAGGAGTATTTGATGTAATTAAAATGGCCAAAGAGTAAAGGAAATTGTTAAAATAAGGGGGGTTTTTGCCCTTAAGGGAAAATTATCTCCTTGAAAACATCTTGTAAGCTCATAAGTAGTGCATTTTTATTTTTTTTTTTCCATTTTTTCACTTTCTTTCTTCCCCTTTTTCTCTTCCTCTTGCCTTCTTGTTGAATAACCTTATGAGCTCATTTTTTATTAGAACATGAAAAGGAGCAAAAATGGTTATTGTTTGAAAGCTTACAAGTTTTAAGCTTTTAGAAAGATCATGCGAGATTCCTAAAAGCTTGAGTGTGCCAATATACCCTTCCAATGTAATAGTAAAGTGCAAACCTTGCTAGTCAACAATCATTTGTCATGGAAAATTTACAGGATCCAATTCCTGCAAATAAATAGAAACTTGTACGTTTTTATGTCCCACCACGTGCAATTTAGTTTATGCTTAATCTATGTTTGTTCCTGTTGCTAATATATATGCTAGAATTTAATAGAAACTTCCATGTTTTTTGGGATGTCTCTCTTACAGGGGAGAAAGGCCCGTCTCAAGTCGACAAGAAGTACGACAGCTGGCCAGAATCGGTACTCACGCGTGGGCCCTCTTTCAAATCATTCTCCTTATTCGAATCCCACAACAACAAATCATTTATACAACGGAAGTTGTGCAAGTGCAGGTCATGAATATGCAAATGGCGCTTTGGACAAACCTTGAGTAGACACTATTATTCGACTAGGATTTAACTCATGGCCTCTGGCGTAAATGCAGAATCATATGTGCAACAAATTCAGAGATCGCGAATCGGAAAGTATTGAAAGAGCCTTTTTTGGTTAGCCCCGTTTTGCTGGACAAATCTTGAATGTTTTTTTTGCAATGTAAGGGACTAGTTCTGGTTCTGGCTTGCATCTGCGTGCTATCCTTCTTTGAAAAGCACGCAGCCATTTTTCTTACATGATGTGAACTGCACTCAGTTTATTGAAAATTAAAGATACCATGTTCTTTGAGAACTGCAAGACCCTTGACCAATTTAGAGTTTTGTATTTGAGTTCTAAATTCACATATATATTCAGCTCTCTATATCAATTTATTCTCCTCACAAAAATTTTTCAAGACCTTTTCACTAGGTACCAACACAAAACCCCCGGGTATAGCAGTTTTATCGATTTGGCTATGAAGCCAACTGTTGGCTTCATAACAAAACCGGCAGTTTTATAGTAAAGCCCCATGCAGTCCTATTATAGAACCATCCGATGGCTCCGTTATAGAGTCATCCTCATTAAAAAACGTATTCTTAGAATACGTTTTTCAAATAAATTGCCCACCAAAGTAGTCAAAGTTAACCTAGATCCACACGAACAAGCGCACTCTTTTCCACTTATGTCAATTCGCCCCTGCAACGCACACAAACTGTGAGAAACCTACAACCAAGGAAAAAAAATCATATTTATTACTATTTATTGTCTGTACATAATAAAAAATCTATATATAAATATATAATTGGAGGCAATGGTTTTAATAGAACTCTTTTTCTCTTCTTGCCTTTTTAGTTACGCATATACAATAATTATTTTTTTTTTCCTTTATTTTAATCATCAATGCACCGTAACGTTCATCCTTATCTACAATCTCAGCTTATTTTTTCTTTTGAAAAGTTGAATTTTTTGACATGATTTCAACACATTTTCATTTACAATAATTGTTGGACCCTTGAGTTTTACCCCAATATTTTTAGTTACACATGATTTCACCACATTTTTAGCACATAAACCTAATAATAATAATAATAATAATAATAATAATAATAATAATTTTCAGTCGATCTCCCAATTAAAAAAAAGTATAATATTTATTACAATTTTTCTCATAAATATAATGATTCATATGTAAGTCGTGTAATTTTTATTTTCTTGTTCATTTTTACTTATTGTAAAAATTTTAACGTGTGATACTCATTATCTAACTTATAACTTTATATATATTTTCTTTGAGAATTTTTTCAGATTATAATTTCTAAATTAAATATTTAATTGATTGATTGTTTCATTAAATATATATTGCTGGCCAATTAAAGAATGACACATATATTTTTAAGGCCAATTAAAAAATGTCACATGTCATTTTCTTGGAGATAAAATAAATAATTATTTCTATAAATAACTATTATTAAAAAGATAAATATTGAAATTTGATGTAATTATCTCTTTTATTAAGTATTATTAAAGAGATAAATATGGAAAATTAATGGACCATGTCTTCTTTTTCAAGACACTCTCTACCCTACAAATATAAATAAGGGTAAAAGGGCTACAAGTCCACATGTTCAAGTTCAAGAGAAGAATTCTTAGCAAAGAGGGATAAGAAATCATCTCTATTCAACCAAGTTAAATTCAAGGCGAAGATCAAAGCAAAATTCAAGCCATTCATTGCCAATTTCCATCAAGTCCAAGCCTTTACTTCAATATAAGGTTTGAAAACATTATAATTAAGGTTTTCCATCAAGTCCTAGCATTTAATCCGATATAAAGGTCGAAAACCTTATAATTAACGTTATTGGAGGCCAAAATCATCTTGAAGGAAGATTGAATTATTCATTCCACCATGAACTGTCAAAACCCGAAGTTCAATTCGAGATCAAGCTGTCAATCCCTTGAATAAATGTTATTCACATTTCAAATCAAGACCAGCGGAGATCAAACTGAAGAATCTTCTCCAAAAGTCTCAGTCGACTTGTAGGTCGCTCTTGAAGATTTTAATCAGAGAAAGAATAAAGATTGTAATCTCCTATATTTATTTGATCCTTTAAAATTCAATTTGTATGAACGTCTCGTATTTATTTATCAGAGAATATGAAATTTGTGTTACAAGAGCCAAATGAAAAAAAAAAAAATGATTATTTTTAAGGTCGTTGTACCTAAAGTTTCATAAAAGCATGGCCCACCAAGAACAAAGTCCAGACGGTAATTAGGCCTACACTCTTTTTTCAGATGCCCCGTGAAACATGCGAACCATCTCGCAAAAAGCTAAAGATGAGAAGTTAGGTCTGGTGGGGCAGAACAACAAGCGCAGCAGACAAAAATACCTTACAATAAATATGACAAGCACTACTCCTAAAGAAAATAAACCAATACAAATAAATAAAAGACGAGAAATAAAAGAAACACAACGAAATTTATAACAAAGTTCGGGCAATATTGCCTACGTCTTAGGGCACCGCCAACCGCAACGCCAAATTTACTAAACTCACCAAAAAATATAGCTAGAGTTAAATAATCCACAAATTAGGATATCCTTAATTAAAGATTTCCTTGTAAGAAATGAGAGAATAGAATAAAGTGCAATTGTACCCAAAGGCAAGAAACCTATTTATACTAAAAAGATCCTACACCTCTTTGGTACACATCAGATGTGGTACAAACAAAAAAAAATTAATCAAAATTTAACAGTTCTCTACCTTGACTAATTTTGCTCACTCTGACTCTTTAATCCAACTCAACTGTTGGTGGTGTCTCCAAATACGCCTCTCGGCGCCAACTCAAATATGCAGAATGTTGGTCAAGTCTAAACAATGTTCAAACTTGAGTGTTATCACTACCTTGGTCATCATTTTTTTTTTCAAACGACAGATTCTATTAACCAACTCAAACCAACATACAAAGGTTCGAACAAATAGCTAACAAGATATAAGAACAACCTTGGGAGCCACACTCAAAGAGTGCTCTAGAAACACATCACAAGCACAATGACTAAGGTGGGATTGCAATCACCGAGACCTTACCCGGATAACTGAGAGCGTAGAACCAGAACTAACTGTAACGAACTACACAAACTAAGA